CTCGTTGGAGTCTGGGGAGGAGCTCGGGACCCCTCCCCTTTCCATTCCCCGCCCTACCTCCTGCCCCAGGTCCCTCCTCCTCCCCCCTTTTCCGGTCCCCGGTACAAGAGAGGTGGGGAGGGTTGAGGAGAAGACGGATGTCCGAGTCCCCGCCTCCCCGCTCCCTCCCGCCCCCCCCAGCTCCAGGAGACCGTAAAAGGCTAAGGCTAAGGCAGCCCTCCCCCTTCTACCCTGCTTGCCTAGCTCGACTTCCCCCTCCATGGGGGAAATCTATGGCCTGAAAATGAAGGTATTGCTCAGAAGTCTTAGAGAATAACAGAATGCCGACCTCTTCCTAACACCATTTGGCAGATGTGCGGACTGAGGCCCAGGGATTGTAAGGGATTTGTCCAAAGCCACATAGGGGGCCAGAAGCAGAAGTGAAGCTGGAAACCATGCTAATAACGATTAGAGCGAGGCTGCTTGGAGCCCAGGACATAGAGACAGCCTATGACATCTGCCACTTAAGCAAATCATTGAACTTATGTGTTTCTTGGCTCCTCACATCTGTGAAGAGGGATTGGCTCAAATGACCTCTACAAGTTCCTTACAGCGTTGAAACCTGTGATGCTGTGATACACACAGACATATCCATACACTCCCTACCTACCTATGCTTTCCTTCTAACCTCGGTGGAAGAGCAGAGATAAGTGGAAAGAACACTTTGGAATTTGCTTTTGACAGACCTAGGTTGGAATTCCAGCTACCACAACCCTGTGACCTTGGGCAAGTGGTTTAACCTCTCTGGGTCTCAGTTTCCTAATCTGTAAAACAAGGGTATTCAATCCTCAGACTACCAGATTCATTGGGGTCCTCGTAAGGAAAGCACCTAGGGAAACAGAGCCTTGGGGAAATTGGAGCTGCTGTTACCTCAAGAAACTGGGCGTGGCTTAAGGCCTCCAACTTCCTGGGGGATATTTGAGGGGGAGGGTAACAGGATGGAAAGTCACAAGGCTTGTTTCTCAGTCCACTAAAGTTTGAGTGCCTACCGGCTGGCTTCGTCA